CCGGGAGCTATAGTTCCCCCGCGGGGCGCGAGCGGGTGGTGGCAGCGCGGAGGGAGGTCGGTAGCGCTCTCTGAGCCGCGAAGGGGCAACGGGAGCTCGGGGCTCTCTCGGGCTCACTCCGCACCCCTCGAGGTGCTGGCGTCTCCGTGAGCGCGGGACGCGCACGTGGCGGGGGCGCTGCCGAAGACGCGGCCGTGTATTCGTACCAGTTGCACGACGCGCCCGATACCCGCTATTGGGGCTGAACTGCCCATTTCTCGTTTGCCGTGCGCTCTGATGGAAGCGATGACGGCAAGGGGCGAGAGGTGACAACTTGAAAGGGGCACTGGGAAGGTGTCCGGAGCAGAGAGCAGTTTCCACCCTGAGATAGAGTCTCATTACCCCCCACGTTTCCCTCTCTTCTGCTTGCCCTGCAGGTGACTGCCCCGCACCGCAGCCCCGGTCATTCCGCACCAAGACAGAAACATCCGGAGCCCTTCACCTAAAGCACAGTAACGTGGCTACTTTAAATGTTTTTTGTGTTTCCTCCTTGTCTATTTTTAAACTCGAGTGTGACCTCTGTTACCAAAGTGAAGTGCAGTCAAAAATCACCAAACCGAGCTAACCTAGTCGTCCACGTGCATGGAAACGACTGTGACAATGCGGAGGGGGGTGGGGGGTGGCGACATAAGGATCTAGAGCGAGATAAAATAACACTGTGCATTAAATATAGACCTCTTATGTGAGGGAAAAGCCTGAGCAGCTGTGGCCATTGTCACAGAAACGACATAGTTCTCCTTAAGTCAACATTTTATCCCAAAACTACAGTAAAATATATTAAAACACTCAACTGGAGGGGCTACAGTCAATAATCATCCCCATGCAGAAGTCAAGAGGGCAGTTTTTAAGAGAAAATAAGTGGGTCCCTACGTTTGTTACCAAATCATCAATTTTAATGGATGTCCCTGGATTTAAAGGTAAGCAATAGTAATTTAAAAATAATTTATATTAAAGATGAGGCAAGTAAAATTGTGTATAAACCTGATCTATTCCGAAGCAATTAAAAAAAAAAAAAAGAGAGAGAGAGAGAGACTTTTCTGAAACAGTCTCCGGAATTGGAAGCTGCTAAATGTCTAAAATCTAGTATTATCTAATTCAATCTAATTATACTTTTATGTTTGTCTTATTCTGCTATTCTTTCACCTTAAAAATGAAAGTAGATTCACTCAAGTTTACCTTCTTTTTAAGGAACTCTCTTGACTAACTTTGACTTTTTCTTTCTTTCACTTCCCCAACAGAAGTTTTAGTCCAGCCCCAAATATCCTCTTTGGGCAAGATTCCCAGGACCTCATTGGAGCAGTTTACAGCCAGTCCCTTCTCACTATTGACTTCCATTTTCTGTTGTGGTCCTTAAAGAGACAGAAGTTACACTTCCCAGAAACAACTTTTCTAAACGAATCATACTGTTATACAGAGATTTAAGTATTTGTGTGCATGTGAGAGAATATATATAATACATGTTATATATGTATATCTCATTTCATTTCCACTGTTCTGCTTCTCTTTTTAAAAATAAAATTGTCTCCTCTACTTTGATCTTTAAACGTTTTAGCATTGGACTATCTTTGTATCTAGTTTTTTGTTTGACATGAACTACAGTTTCCTCAAGATGTTCCATTCATATCCTAAGAGCATTACAAAGACACAGATTGGGTTTAATAAATAAATGTATTTTATCCTTGAGAGAAAATATAATCTGAATATCCAAGATGGAAAGGATTTTTCTTCTTAGTGGTGTAGTATGAAAACAAGAGCTCACAGTCTTCCTTTTCTGTGGGTGCAGTTGCAAATCTGCTTGTCCCATATTTAATGGACTCTTCTTGTGAGTCCTCTAATGACACCAACATAAGCATTCACACATGCTACCTAATACAAGAAAAGAAGGGTCAACACTGTTGTGACTTGAGATAGCAGAGCTACCCAATTCAGAATTCTAATTGCAGAAAAGCATGATTTGCTAAGGCCCAAGCTAGAGGAAATAATCATTACTTTAAAACTTCAGCTGGGTTTAATTTATGGATTGTGGTTACTGGAAAATTATTTTGGGTTTGTCTTTTTCCATGACCTTGAAACATAGCTGAAAAATTCAGAAAGCATTTGAGTGTCAATGTAGAGTTAGTAATGGGCTAATTAACCTCTATGTGCTTCGGTCCCCTCATCATTAACTGGAATGATAGTAATCCTATGAGTAAACCCCATGAGTTGTTATAAGGATTAATTGAGATAGTACATGGAAAGTAATTTTTAAAAATGCCTGGCATACAGGGAATGCTCAATAAATGTTAACTATTATTATTCATGTTAAAGAGTTAGAGCCCTTTATATCTCTATAGCTCCTCCTGTCCTTTGGCAGCACAGAGAAAGAACAGTTGCTAAGCTTGATTCTATGGAGGGAAATTTAAAATGATAATGAACAGGAATCCCTGTGGCCATAATATGAATTCCTTTTTACTTCATCAAAGGAAGATCCTACTGCACAGGTCCTCAAGTGAGCAGAAGCTATCACTGTGACATTTTCTACACTAACAAATTGAACTGTTCCAGTGCAGGATAAAATCCTAAATGGCTTTTTTGTTTGTTGATTGTATTTTTAATAGTTAGTCAGACTATAATGACCTGAATATTTTACTATAATTTGTATTCTGATCATGACACCTCAAATTTCAAAACCTTAAGTAGCTCTGGAAAGAATTCTTACTACATAATCCTAGACTTTAAACTGCCTCATGGTTCCTTAAATGATGATGTCTAAGTTAGCTGAAGGCTAATTGATTTTAGTTTAGCTCATTTGTCTTTTTTCCTAGTTTCCCCCTTGAGACTTTATAGTCTTTGATGGATTGATTCACTAAACATTTTTGAGAGGCTGTCATGTACAAGCCATTTGATAGTATATATAGACAAAACAAATGTTTTCAGGAACCTAAAGTTTATTAGCTATGTGTTTAAAGTTTATTAGGTATGTTAAAATCTGTACTATAGAGAAGAGGTTTTAAAAAAGAGAATAAGTAGGAGACAAAATAAGGGATTAAAAGATGTCAGAGAAATATGAGACATACCACTGACCTGGGGAAGGCTAAATGCATGAAAAAGTAGGATTTTCACTGGGCCTTGAAGAAAGAGTAAGATTAGAAAATATAGGAGAGAGAAATGGGAGAAAAAAGAAATTCTAGGTGGAAGTAGCAGTGTGAACAAAGGCACACAGGTATGATAACATGGGGCACATTTGTGGACCAAATAGTTCAATTGGACTGAAACATAGGATTTTTTTTTCTCACACAATTTGTAAAAATTGAGATATAATTCACAAACTATAAAACTCACTTTATTAAAGTGTAGAATTTACTGCTTTGTAGTATATTCACGAAGTTATGCAACATCACCACTATCTAATTTCAGAACATTTTCATCACCCCAGAAGAAACCCGTCACCAGTCCCTTCCCATTAGCCCCAGAGGTGTCAGGCCCACCCAGTGAGCTCTGCTGGGAGCCTTCAGGCAAAGACGCACAAAGGCTTGCATATGCTTGGTTCGACGTGCATGGGAAGGTGAGTGTGGAGCATACTGGCAGGGCACCTGCTGAATCTGCTACACATGCCTTAAACCTCCATTTTACAAATCTGCATCTCTAGCCTTGATCTCTTTCTGTAACCACCTGAATATCCCACAGAAAGATCACAAATTCAAAGTGTCCCTAATTGAACTCTTTTCCTTTTAAGCTGTTCCTTTTCCTGTATTTCCTACCTTACCACATAGTACCACCATCTATTTAATCATCCAAGACAGAAACTACTTGGTTAGCCTAAACTCCTTTCCTTTGTTCTCTAAGTCTAACTGGTGTCCAAGTCTCAAATTTCTTTTTCTTTTCCTTTTTTTTTTTTTTTTGGTGGCTTGCCAGTACAGGGATCAAACCCTAGACCTTGGTGTTATCAGCACCATGCTCTAACCAAGTTTCATGTCATCATGTTTCTTGTGTTGTATCCCCTGCCTTCTTTTTTGCTGCTACAGATCAGATCTTCACTAGCCCTCAAATGATTTGCTGAAATAATGATTAAGGTTTCCCTGCCTTGAATCTTCTCTTCTTTAATCAACTCTCCACTCCACCACCAGAGTGAAGGCTGGCCAGTTAGCTTGGTTGGTTAGAGCACAGCTTTGTAACACCAAAGTCAAGGGTTTGGATCCCCATACTGGCCAGCTGCAAAAAAAAAAAAAAAAAAAAAAAAAAAAAAACCCCCAAAAAAAAAA